TTTCTCAGCTTTCCTCACCGCAGGTTCACAATTCACATCTATGTCCCACCTGCTCATCTGCTTTCCAGTTTACAAAGTTTTGTTGCTGTCACTTTCTCTCGCAGTCTTTGTGTTCCGTGGTTGTTTAAGACTTCTTAAAAAATGCTTTCTATTGATAAATGGCATTTAGGAGGGAGCAGAGATGTATACGCATTTGTTCAGAATATACCATTTTAACTGAAATATGGCTTTATACTTTACATTTAAACCTTTAGTCCATTTGGAAATGTGATTTTATTATATGAAAAAAAAAACTGTCTTAATGTCCAATGGTTAGATATTCTCTCCCAGCACCTTCTACCGCTGAATGACACGTTTTCTACTGATTGTTATTAATATATGTACATTACTTTATTATAGTATTAACATCCAATTATTACCATACACTACGTTTGGGTATATGCCCAAGTCTCTTGTAGACGACTGACCATGCGGTAGTAAGCAGGGGAGTAAACAAGTGCTGGGGGCCCGGCCAGTTCCTAGCCTGTGCTCAGGGTGCGCTGGGCCCGAGCCAGTGCTGGACATTTTCCTAATTTTCCTTCCCTCAGGCTGTGGAGGTGATGAGGCCTTGCTACCATGGAGCAGGACCGTGGATGACTTCTCCCCTTTGCACAGCTGTGCCCTGTCGCCCTATCCCTGCCTGTTTCTGAGACGTGGTCAGGGGGCCGGGAGCTTGCACGGTGGCACCTTTGGGACCGGATCCCTGCCAGGTACCAAGCTGGTCTGGAGGCAGTGGTAGTGGTGGCAGGGCAGTGCATTCTGGCCTGGTGGCCCTACAACGGCACAAATGCCGGTGCTGGTGTGCTGGGCTCACTGTGCAGCTTGTCCCAAGGCTGGGCTGCCTCCTGCTGCCCAAGTAACTCTTCACCCATGCCCTGTCTGTATTGCCCACTCCCTAGCGTGAGCTTGCTAGGACTGAACATCTACCCTTTCCCATCAATCAGGGTAGCTCTTTTGCCTAGCTGAAATGGAGGGCAGTGTTCTGAGATCTATCAAGGGTCCAAGGAAGTGAAGGGAGGAGACTTGGGGGTGGAACAAAGTTCTGCCACTTTCTCCACCCTCAGCACCTGCTCCAGCTCTGATCCTGGTCTGGGAACATCGTTCTGGTTCTGTGCACTTTCATCCCTGGGGTGGCTGGCAGAAGGGTACTTAGGAAGCCATCTCCTCCACTGAAACCCACAGCAGAGCCCAAAGGAAAAAATGGCTCTCACAGGCTCCCTCATCCTCCATTCTCTCAGGTCTCCATGGACTGACATCTTCCAGCATTTCCCTAAGCTATGCGCCCCTGCCACACTCTAGTGTGCCTTCCGCTGCCTGCAGCACCTTGCAATGTTGGTGCTGGAAAAGAGAGACCTCTGCCTGGGCTGCCAATTATGCAAATACCCAGGGATCCGAGGGTCAGGTAAGGCATGAGATGGGGTAGAGGCAGATCTCCCTAGCCCTAGGCCTTGCCTGTGGCAAACCTCCCATAAATATTCGTTGGATTAAATTTTGGTGAAGTCATTTTTAGTTTTAACCTTTCTTCTTTGTGTTCTCGGGCTCATAATGAGGATCTCACTGCCAGAGACCTGTAAGTCTCGGTTCTCAGAGATGGTTACAGGGCACTGATCTCCCACAAAATCCTGGAGGGAGAGACACTCCTCAAAGGTTTGGGCAGCAGCGTGGAGAGCATAGAAGGTGGAGCTGTTCCGGGGGGCCATGTGGATGGAAAGGCAAGGCATGGGGGTGGGAGACTTTATTCTGCAAAGTCATGTCATCTCTGAAGTTGTTCCAAAAGATTTCTGTATTCCTCTGAAAGGCAGACTGACAGAGACACAGCGAGACCTTCCACCTGGTGTTTTACTCCTCAAATACCCCCAGTAGCCAGGACTGGGCCAGGCAGAATTTACGATCCAGGAACTACCTCCTAACCTCCAACGCGGGTGTAGGAACTATGTACTTGGGCCATTATGTGTTGCCTCCCAGGCAAGTTACCAGGAAACTGAATTGGAACTGGACGAGCTGGGACTCACACCAGGCACGTTGATATGGGATGTTGTTTATCTAAGTGGCTGTTTAACCGGCAGTGCCACAATGCTCCCCTCTCTCCAAAATTTGCTGACTATTTACTCCATCTGAATCTGACTGGGTTGCTATAGGAAAACATATTACACTAGGAAATTTATAAACAGGAATTTATTACTGTTTTTAATTAAACATCAGATCTCATATCTAATTGACACTTTTCCTGCAAACCATGGGAACCTGAGTGATTATTACAGGCATACTCAAGGCATTTGTCTTAGGAAATTGCCCTCTGAGTCCATTAGAGAGGACATGGTGCAAGGAGGGGTGAGGGCCCTGGTGATGTGGTGAGAACTGCATGGGCACAGACTCAGCTCTCTGTTTGTATCACCCAAGGATGGGGCTGAACTGGTTTACACCAGGGGAAATGGGCTCTGTACCTTCCCAGCCTTTTGCAAAAATCAGATCCACAGAAAGGGCTAACACTTGTATGAAAACTAGGTCCAAAGGTCTGAATTGGGAGGCATGTGAGTCGTCCTTATGGAAGGACTGTGGAAAAATTAACTATATTTGCCTTGAGTAATGGTAAGTAATGAATTTGCATATCCAAATAAATCTTTTAATATTTTAAATGAGCAGCTTGAGTTTGCTTCCATGCACACAGTTTGTTTTGAACTTCAGTTTTATGACTGCTGAAAACAATTCCTCAAGTCATTTTAATGATTAGCTCTTTGAAGTTTTCATAGTCACCGTCATTGACTTTGCTTGTACTTAGAAATGTCAACAACAGGAGTCACTGTGCACTTACTCCTCAAGTAGGATCTCTGTCCTTAATGTGCTGTACATTGTGATTTAATGCTATTACGAGTACTCAAACAGTATTTTTCACTTTGTGTTTCTATGTGGGTGCAAACTGTTGAAATCTTTACTTAATGTATGCTAAACTGATCTTCTGTATATAAAGAGAATTGAAAATGAATCTTGATGTGAATGGAAGGGGAGAAGGAGCGGGAAAGGGGAGGGTTGCGGGTGGGAGGGAAGTTATGGGGGGGGAGCATTGTAATCCATAAGCTGTACTTTGGAAATTTATATTCATTAAATAAAAGTTGAAAAAAGAAATTTTTAATAAAATGTGTAATAAGATATGTGAAACTCTTCAGGATTGGCCACAAGGACCTATCACCCACTTGTGTCATTCAGAATTTCATTTTCCTGATGCCAATATAAACCCAAAATTACAGTGACCTAATCAAATCTGCACACAGTGTGAAATTCAGGAGCCAGTCTTGGCGTCATACTTCATGAAGACTTCACCTTGTTACCAGGGAATCTACTCCCCCAACCTCAGCACTGACTTTTATCCTCAATGTTCCCATGTGACCACAGATGGCAACTAGAACTCCAGCCATCACATCTGCTTCCAGGCACCAGCAGGAAAGGAAAGGGCAAAGGGCATGCTTCCTAATGGAGTCCAGGTTCTTTAAGAAGCTTCTTAAATCCCGCCCCATGACTTCTAATTAGTTCTCATGGTCTACCCCAGTTGTAAGGGGGCCTAGGAATCATGGTCTTAGCTGCTCTGAATAAAATCAGGTTTCAGGTAGGAAAAAAGGTAGATTGAATGTTGGAGAGACATCTGACAGCCGACCATACCAGTTCACGTCAGATCCCCAAGGAAGCTGAGGCAGGAGGTATAGTCAGGCCTCCTCGGAGGCAAGAACCTGGAGCTACTGGCTACTGGGTACCCAAGTTGCCCCTCTGTAGGTCTCTTTCTGGGGCTATCTGGTTTCTCAGCATAACTGCCTCCTCCTCTTTTCATTCAACCTGGTTCTCGACATCTCTTTGTACAAGATACAAATGACCACTGCCTGCACCCTGTGTTTTCGAGTTCTCTGCTCAACCTGGTAGAAACTACAGAGCTTTCTCACTTCTGATTCCTACTTCTGATCACTCATGGTCACAGAGCCTCCTAGTACAAACACATCCTCTGTGTGTGTGCATGAGTGTTGGGCTAAGAGGAGTTGTTCTCAAAAGGGTACTCCTCATTGAGAACAGAGGCTCTTGCTCTTCTAAGTAGACATAAATTAGCAGAATCAAGCTCCATTTATAAAAACATAGGTAACCAGAAAGCTCAAGTTAAAAAACAAGTCTCCCTGACAATGAAATTATCAAGGCCCTGTCGGACCCTGAATCCACACCAAGAAAATGATAGGTTCAGGCAAATACTTTTGTTCTAGGAAATGGATTGGGTGGGGTACCAATGGACAGAATATATTTGGATCTGCTAGGAGATCTGTACTTTTCAGATTTAAAACCCAGGCCATACAGAGGTTAATCTAGTAAAATCAGAAATAGTCCCATGATGTCCAACTGTATCCATGTGTGGCAACACTCAAGTGGACCAAAACTGTACTTGTAGTGATGAAAAATTAATTATGTTTCTATTTAATATACTAAAATCTAATTTAAGTAAATTAAGCAAATTGAAGTAAAATTAAGTAAATCTATTTAGAAGTGGAGAGGAAAAGTAAGTTACAAGCAATATTTGAGAGATAATGGATGGAAATTATCCAACATTAATGAAATAAATTATTCTACTGGATTAACAATCCAAATGAATCCCAAGTAAAAAATACAGAAATACATATATAGACACAAAGAAGAAAAAATTTCAAAAGCGGCCAGAAAAACTTAGGAAGATTACTGAGAATCCTCAGTTAATCTGAATGATGTAAAGAAAAAGCACTAGAAGAAAAATTGGAACAAAGATTAACAGTGATAACACCCAAATATATATATATATGTCAACACTAATAACTATAAGTATTTTGTTAGAAACAAACATGTTAAGTTACTTTTTAAAATAACCCAAATTCCAGATTGCAATATAAGCACTTGGAAACAGTCATTCCATCCTAGCAACTAAAAGGATGAACAAATAAAAAAATCACTTCTTTTTAGATCTGTCAGAGAAGTGAAGCCACATGGCAAACCGCTGCCCCTGGAATTCAGGGTCCCAAAGGCAAACAGAAAATCACTATTTATCAGAGCAAAAACCCATAGGCAGAAACCACCATGGGTGCCAACATCAGGCTCCTTTTGCCTACAGCATGTCCAGCTATCAAGAAAAATCACAAGGTATACTAAAAGGCAAAAAAAAAAAAAATCAGTTTGAAGAGATGGAACAAGTATCAGAGAGCCAGTCATAGATATGCTGCAGATTTTGGAATTATCACATTGGGAATTTAAAACAATCATGACTAATATGGCAGAGGCTTTCATGAAAAAAGTAGACAATATGCAAGAACAGATGCATTACATAAGCAGAGAAACAGAAATTCTAAGAATAATCAGAATGAATTGCTAGAGGTCAAAACACTAACAGAAATGAAGAATACCTCTGATGGATTCATCAGTAGACACTCCACAGGTGAGAAAACAATCTCTAAGCTTGAGAATATCTCAACAGAAACATCCAAAACTTAAAAAGTAGGGAGACCCTAGAAGGAATATTTAAGAACTATTGACAACAGCAGGCATACCATATGCCCAACAGGAACAGAAAAAGGAGAGGAAAGAGAGAAAAGAATAGAGAAAACATTTCAAGTGATAATCACTGCAAATTTCCAGAATTAATGTCAAGCAGGATAAATGTCAAACAAACCCAAACTCAACACTTGGACATATCATATTCATACTGCAGAAAATCAAAAATCAGTTAAAAAAATTGAACAAGCATCAAAAGACACCTCACCTGTAGACAAGCAAAAGTAAGAATTACACCTAATTCCTACTCAGAAACTCTGTAAGCAATAAGAGAGTGAGGTGAAACATTCAAACAGTTGAGAGGAATAAAACCCCAACTAGAACTATGCATCATGGGAAACTGAGGGAATTTGTTGCTGGTAAACCTGCTGTGCAAGAAATGTTAAAAGAGGGTTCCCAAAGAGAAGGAAAACCATACAGGTCAAAGGCACAGATCTCCTTCAAGAAAGTATCAGAGAAGGAATAAGGGGAAGTCAAAATTAAACTTATTTTGGCCGGCGCCACGGCTCACTAGGCTAATCCTCCGCCTGCGGCGCTAGCACCCCGGGTTCTAGTCCCTGTTGGGGCGCCAGATTCTGTCCCGGTTGCCCCTCTTCCAGGCCAGCTCTCTGCTGTGGCCAGGGAGTGCAGTGGAGGATGGCCCAAGTCCTTGGGCCCTGCACCCCATGGGAGACCAGGAGAAGCACCTGGCTCCTGCCTTTGGATCGGCACAGTGCACTGGCTGTAGTGGCCATTTATGCAGTGAACCAATGGAAAAGGAAGACCTTTCTCTCGTCTCTCTCTCTCTGTCCACTCTGCCTGTCAAAAAAATTAAAAAAAAACTTATTTTTCCCATTCTTTTAAAAAATGTCCAGTATTATATTTTTCTTATTCTTAGTGGATCAGGTACTAATTTGTTCAAAATAATAATGCAAAATGTACCTATGTATGCACACACATATATTTGCATGCAAGCTTGCATATAAGTGAAATGAATGGCAGTAATGATATTTGAGGGATGACAGGGAGGAATCAGAAATATTTTATGATTATAAGATACTTACTGTGGAGTGGGATAGTGTTATTTAACAGTGGATTTGCATTAGTTGTAATTATAGAGCTGGGAACTCCAGGGTAACCAGTAAGAAAAATAAAAAGAAAAGGTATAATTAACAGATAAGAAAACAGAGAAAATAAATTATTACTTGCTCACGATGATATAAACAGGGCACATAAGGCTGTCTCCAAATTCCTCATGTTTTCCCTACAATATACTTAATCCTCTCATTACTTCTCAGATAGATTTTGTTTCAGGTTAGCAGTTTTACTTCTCTGATGGAGCCTGCAAGTAGGGTCCGTGTCTTTTAAGTGTAGCTGGGAAGAGTTTAGGAAATACTACAAATCACTCGCCAGCCCAGAAGCCTCAGTATGCTTGGTGAGCAACAGGAGGAGCAGTTGCCACACCAACCCAGGGGTTTAGGGGAGTCAGAAACATTACCCATCCTCAGCGTCCCAGCTGGAGAGAAAACTGTCCTCTCACAGCAACACTGCCTACTCACCCACACAGAAGCAGTTTTTCTGGAGGTGACATAATTGTGGTTCCCAGATTCCTGGCTCTGTGCAGTAGCCAAAATGCACGGCATGCGCTCACCTACCCAATCCAGAAGTAACTACTTCCATTCAGCAGTGGTGGAGGCGTCGGGATTACAAAGCAGGAAAGCCCGAGCTGCAGTCGCGACTCCATCTCCTCCTAGCAGTGAGGGTGACTCAACATGAATGTTCCTCAGCTTCCTCACGTGGAACGTGCGCATTTTAGGGGCTGGTGAAATAAATAGCTTGTTTATTTTGCATACAACCTTAACAGCCACAGGACATTTTATATACATGTTAGTCCTTAAGTGACAGGGCATGTAGAAATGCTGATTTATTTTATAATCACTACCCATCTTGGAGTCTTAGGATAAAAATGGTTATCCACCCCCTAGTGTGGACAGTATTTTGTACTCACTAGGCAATGCAATTTGAGACTTTTTAAACATGAGATATTGCTAAGTGCTCTATTTCCCCTTCAATAAGCGCCTCAGAAGAAATCCCGTTTTCCCCAGCCTGTCCCAGTGGTGTTCGGAGTCTGAGCAGATGCCTCGTGGGCCTGAGCAGCTTTCCTGTTGCCAGGCCCCCAGAAGGCTGCCTGCCTTCCTGTTGCTGGGGATGGAAGCCCATTTGGCCCAATCATTTATCTACAGGGCCCTGTAGATATCTGAGTTCCTGCAACTCCATGAGGGGAGAAGACAACAGAAACTCGCTCATTTACCCCAGAAATTCAGCTGCCAAATTCTTGGTTCCATCCTTTCAACTGAGTGTCTCTTCTCTAATCCCACTGCTCCTGCCCCCAACTCTGTCCAGATTTCTCCCGGCTTTATCTACTGCAACCACCTATTTGGCTTCTCTGCTCTAAGTTTTTCTTCATTCAATCCATCCTTCACATCATTGCCCAATGGATTAGATTCCAAAAATAATGTCACATTTTGCCTCAAAATAATTTCCTGTCTCCAAATTCCTTGATGAACTAAATACAGACTATTCCAATATGATAACCAAGGTTCTCTAATAATACCCATGTAGCGTGGAACACTGATTTGTTCTCTCTGTCCTCTTTAGTATAGCTACTCTTTCCTTTGTTGAACGTTACCTAGACACATGGCTGCTCCTAATATGAACTAGATCTCCAAGCCGCCTTTTCAGTTACCTGTGGCCACATGATTTAATTCCACTTATGAGCTGTACGTAGAAGTGACATAGGCAACATCTAGAAAGTGTGCTGGGAAAGATCAATACCTCTTGCACTCCCTCCCTTCTTCCTCCCGGCTCTCTGGAATGTAGGAGTGATGGCTGCATGGGTAGCCATCTTGAACCATAAGATTGTGCTGAGAAGGGCAGAGCAATGATGTAAAACAGGCCTTGTTTGCTACCCCGAGAGCACCACATCACACCTGAATAGACTATATTAGGGCATCACTATGTCTTGAGCAGGCCTTTCAGTAGTTCATGTATTGGAATCATAATCTCCAAGTTCCTATGTTAGCGCTATTTAGAGGTTGGACCTTGGGGAGGTAATTAGGAAAACCCATTGTAGCATCAGTTGGCTTCACAAGAGGAGGAAGAAAGAGCAGAGCTAGCACACTTATGATGCCCTACGTCATATTATAATGACACCAATAAGGCCCTCACCAGATACAGAATGGAGGTTGGCACCATGCCCTTGGAGTCCCTAGTCTCCAGAACCATGTACCAAATAAACTTCTATTCTTTAAAAATTATCCAGTGTCAGGTATTTTGTTATAGCAACAGAAAATGGACTAAGATTCTTTAATATATGAAAGATATACATTTCTACTTTGTTTTATTTTATTGTTTTTCCAAATATACAATTTTATTCTTTAGAAGATTTTTTTGTTTGAAAGGTGGAGTTACAGAGAAAGAGGGAGAAAGACAGATCTTCCATCCACTGGTTCTTATCTCATATGACTACGCAATGGCTGGGGCTGGGCCAGAGTAGAGCCAGGAGCCTGGAACTCGATCTGGGCCTCCCATGAGGGTGCCAGCGCCCCAAGCACTTGGGCCACCTTTTGCTGCTTTTCCAGATGAATTACCAGGGAGCTGGATTGGAAGTGGAGCAGCCAGGTCTGGAACGGCATTCATACATAGGATGTCTATTTGCTGCCTACAAGAAACACCAACTCACCAACAGAGATACTCACAGACTGAAAGTGAAAGAATGGAAAGATATTCCAGGCTAATGGAAAGCAGAAAAAAAAGAGCTGGTAAAGCTATTCTAATATCAGAAAGAAAAAAAAAAAAAACCATGTGCCTATATGAGACCCTGGGAGAACCATGTGCCTGCAGGAGACTCTGCCCCTAGAAGCGGCGCTGAGCTTCTAGGACACCCCCTTGAGCCCCTACAAGACCTGACAAAACCTCTGGAGACCCCATGCACCTGTCAGAGCAGCTCTATTAACTCCAGAATGCCAGGAAGCAGCCACAGATGGGACAACAGGACGGGGCAGCTCTTCTGCTCCTGATCTCCAAGTCTGTCCCCAACGGTGAGAGAGGACGAGGAAGGGACATGTGGGCCCCGGGATGCATCCAAGGGGCTGCCCTCTGTAAGCCAAGTCCCTCAGATCTCTTGACCCCTCAGTGGCCCCCAGGAACTTAGGTTCAGCACCACCAAGTGTGGAACACACAAGCACCCCCAGACCCCTGCCGGCACTGGCTGATGGAGGAGGGAAAGAGGCAGGCTCTGGAGTCAGGAGGGGGTGTGGCCCAGGGGGAGAGGAGAAAGGAAGGGGCAGCAGGGCAGACCTCTGCCGGGAGACCCAATCTGCAGACTTTTCTAGAAGACTGGAGGGGAGGGGCACATCCCAGCCCACCCAGCAAGGCCTTGTTTCTCCTGCGACTGGCATCTGACGCAGGGTGGGGATTCTAGCCTGTCACATGGACACCCAAGATCCCAATCCCAGCTCCTTGCCAGGGTGCATGTTGGAGGCCACCATGTTGGCTCAGGGACCCACGTAGGAGCCCTCAGCCCAGCCTGAGCTGCTGTGGGCCCCAGGGGAGGGAGCCCCTTGGTGGCAGCTATCTCCCCATCTGGCTTTCCAATGTGAGTGACACAGTGCAAGCCCCTAAGACCCCAACAGCCAACTTAGAGGATCCAATATACAGGAGAAGCTGACCCAACAGAAGACAGGCACCCTCTTTGCAGAGACATAAGGATGAGGATGAGGAGGGGCATCCATCGAGACCATACCATTTGCAGGACAGCTCTTCCAAAAGGCAAAGTGCATGCTGGTGGGGAGATGGCCGGGATGATCCTCCACAGTGTGAGTGTGCCACACCCGTCAGTAGAGGGGTGGACACACAGGGCCTTGGTAGCACCTGCTCAGGGATGGCTTCTAATAGGTCCAGGGACACGGCTGGCAGGCCAGTGATTGGCCAGGGCTGGGAGGGCAGCAGGCAGGGGGACCCGAGCCGCCAGAGGTGCCAGGGCCACCAGGAGCCCTGCCCCCACTCCTCAACTCTGATGCAGCTGAGCTGAGCTCTGAGGCCAGGTCCTGCTGTGTGGAGCCCAGGAGACTGCAAATCCTAGGGGAGAGGAGCTGCAGCCAGGCGTCTGCTCTGAACCATCCCTGAGTGTGAGGTGATGGCCCTGACAAGAGGTGCGAGGGCACAAGGGGGTGGTCCCTGGGCTGGGGACCTGGGAGTGTGGAGGGAATTGGACAGCAGGGCAGCTCTGTCAGGGACTTCCTGGGGCCGGGGGGAAGGGTCACCCTTAGGCACAGGGGAGGGGCCAGGCACATGTCCAGGGGGCACTCATCTCTGATGTAGCCCCTTCCATAAGCTGCAGGCAGGATCCAGGCAGCTCCAGCCATGGGCGTCATCCCTGGAGGAGCAGGCTGCATCAGACAGCTTGGCCACAGCCAAGGTGAGACCCCTGCCCCACCTCAGAAACAGGCTCTAGGACTGGCGTGTGGCTTGGGGATCCAGCTGCACACGGGACCCCTGCATCCCACATCTGAGCGCTGGCACATTTCACCTCTGCCTGTGTCCAGCTTCTTGCTAATGCACCCTGGAAAGGCAGTGGTGATGGTGCAAGTCCCTGGGCCCCTGTAGCCATGGACCTGGGGGAACTGGGTGGAGCTCCTGGTTCTGGCCTGGCCCAGTCCTGATTGTTGTGGCCATCTGGGGAGTGAACCAGTAGATAGAAAACCTGTCTTCATTTCTCTCTCTGTCTCTCTCTTTTCCCCTATCTTCACACCCCTATCACTCCGTGAAAAATAATTAAGACATTCTAAAGTGGGGGTGTGGGGGCAGCTCAGAGGCAAGGACAGCCCTGTCAACAGTGTCCAGGGCCAATGGAGAGTGCACCCCAGGGCACGTGGCCTGCTCTGAAGGAAGGGCCAGCCTTGGCATCCAGGTGTGGGGGTGCCTGGGGCCCAACCCAGTCCCAGATTCTCTGTGAGGACACTCAGTGCCCAGGATCCTTCTCAGGAGGACGCTGTCGGGCCCCAGGTGCCCAGCCCTGTCCAAAGATGCTCTAGGTCAGAGCTGCATGGCCCCACTAGCAGCTCCATCCCCCGCTGGTACCTAGCCTGGTCCTGGGCTCCAGGCTGCCTTGGCAGGGCAGGGAAAGGCAAGGGCACCATCATCTCCCAGTGCTTTGGGCAGACAGCGATGCCACGACCCATCTGTGCCTACAGGGCCAAGGGTGGCCACAGAGGCCAGCAGGCAAGCCTTGTGCTGTGAATGGAGTACGCAGGGTCTCTGGCTGCCCCCCGCCCCAGGAAGCTGCTGGTCAGGAGAGTGAGGAAGCCTGGTGCAGAGAGAGTCCAGTCAGAAGGCTAACGTTAAGTTGTGTGTGCGCGGGGCCCGTGCTGTGGACAGCTGGCCATCACCTGTCAGCCCAGGGACCACAGCTGTGCTGGAGACACTGGCCCAGGACCTTGCTATGGGCCCGTGGGAAAACAGAGCACTGAGCCATGTCTGAAATTCCCATCTGTGGCTAGCAGGGGTGGGACATCAGGTGGTTGGGTGGCAGCCAGCCCAGCCCAGGTTCACTCCAGGAGGCCTTGTGTGCCCGGGTGCACATGACAATGGGGAGTCCTGGGACTGCAGGCATCCTCACTGCTCCAGGTCCCCTCAGTGCTGCGGTGGGACCTCCACCTTTGGCAGAGAGCCACTCACCCCCACAGAGGGGTCCGAGGGCCCAGGCCAGGGGCATAAGGCAAGCAGCTCCTGCACACCCAGGGCTGCACTGGAGAGGAG